GGGAAGGAGGGGAGAACAGTAGGGAAGGAGGGGAGAATAAGTGGAGGGAAGGAGAGGAGAATAAGTGGAGGGAAGGAGAGGAGAATAAGTGGAGGGAAGGAGGGGAGAACAAGTGGAGGGAAGGAGGGGAGAACAAGTGGAGGGAAGGAGGGGAGAACAAGTGGAGGGAAGGAGGGGAGAACAAGTGAAGGGAAGGAGAGGACAACAAGTAGAGGGAATGAGGGGAGAACAAGTGGAGGGAAGGAGGGGAGAACAAGTGGAGGGGAGAGGAGAACAAGTAGAGGGAAGCAGGGGAGAGCAAGTGGAGGGAAGGAGAGGAGAAGAAGTGGAGGGAAAAGAGATGGAGGAAGAGAGGGTAGAAAAAAATAGAAGAAAAACAGCGATGGAGGGAGGGAGTCAGGTGATAACTTGAGACTCCGGTATTAGACGAGGAAGTTTAATTGAGCGGAGTAATTAGTGAAAATGACAAAGATAACCGGAGTGTTTTACGGCCCTGGGTCGATCATTATGATGGTGACCCCCCTCACCCTCCCTCCCTCACCCTCCCTCACCCTCCCTCTCCCTCCCGTGATGACCACCTGAACTGTGATAATATTAAGAAAGAGGAGGAGGAGATGGAGGAGGTAAGGAAAGGAGAGCAGATGAAGGAGGAGAAGAAGGAAGAGGAGGAACTACACAAGATAGGATATGGTTACTAAGATGCACTGTAAGGATGAGGACGCTAGGATAAGGATGGTGGGATGAGGACACTAGGATAAGGATGGTGGGATGAGGACGCTAGGATAAGGATGCTAGGATGAGGACGCTAGGATAAGGATGCTAGGATGAGGACGCTAGGATAAGGATGCTAGGATGAGGACGCTAGGATAAGGATGCTAGGATGAGGACACTAGGATAAGGATGCTAGGATGAGGACGCTGGGATAAGGATGCTGGGATGGGGACCTTCAGGATAGGGATGGTGGATGAGGGACGCTGAGTGGGGATGGTGGGATGGGGACACTGGGATGGGGATGCTGGATGGGGACGCTGGGATGGGATGCTGGGATGAGGGTTCAGCTGGGATAGGGATGGTGGGATGGGGACGCTGGGATGGGGATGCTGGGATGGGGACCTTTGGGATAGGGATGCTGGGATGGGGACGCTGGGATAGGGATGCTCGGATGGGACGCTGGGATGGGATGCTGGGACAGGGGACGGCTGGGATAGGGATGCTGGGATGGGGACGCTGGGATAGGGATGCTGGGATGAGGACGCTGGGATAAGGATGGTGGGATGAGGATGCTAGGATAAGGATGGTGGGATAGAAGACCTTTAGGATAAGGATGGTGGGATATGAGGATGCGGGATGGGGATCTGGGATGAGGGACACTGGGATAAGGATGCTAGGATGAGGACGCTAGGATAAGGATGCTAGGATGACGCTAGGATAAGGATGCTAGGATGAGGACGCTAGGATAAGGATGCTAGGATGAGGACGCTAGGATAAGGATGCTAGGATGAGGACGCTAGGATAAGGATGGTGGGATGAGGATACTAGGATAAGGATGGTGGGATGAGGACGCTAGGATAAGGATGCTAGGATGAGGACGCTGGGATAAGGATGCTAGGATGAGGAAGTCAAAACAGTTAATAAGATGGTTAGGGAGGAGGGGGCAAGTGACGTCACTTAGTTCCGGGGGGGGGGGGCAGTCGACGTGAGAAGACTGACTGGGTAAGCATTGGGCAGACTCGGAAAACACCCACCCCCCCAGTATAGAGTATTATATTATTATTATTATTATTATCATTATCATTATCATTATCATTATCATTATCATTAACATTATTATTATTATTATTATTATTATTATTATTATTATTATTATTATTATTATTATTAATATTATTATTATTAACACAGCAAATAGGTGTTGTTTCCTGTTGTTAAATCACAGCCTCGCCTTTGCTGAGTTTCGTAAAATCGGTTCAGTGGTTTTATAGATATTTGTTTCAGACACACACATACACATTAAGGAGGCAACTACAATGCCTCCTTTCTCTCTTGGGACTGAAATACTAACCAGGAAGAAATTTCCCCAGACGCCAAAGGTAATCTGTTAGAGTGAGTTTGATGCTTTCAGAGGAAGACATCTCCTGCTATAAAGCATCATCTGATCTGTTTAGCATGACTGAGACACCATAAATCAAGATTAACTTCATTTTGCACCTAAAAGAGTCTTTTGATCTAGTACAAAAGCTAAGGTGAAATAGTAGGAGAGGACAATATAATTATTTCAGCTAATTCCACAGGTAATATTTTATGGTCATAGCTCGTAACATAAATCCAGAATTATCATTTGTTTCTGGATATTATCATTAACTTATCAATACTTCACTATAATTTAATTGAGACTTTATTGATTTTTATATATATATATTTTTTTAACAAGGAACAGAATTATTACTGTGTGGGAAAGGATATTGAGTTCATTACCCGAAACTTAGTGGTGTTTATGTATGGTTATATAGTGCTACAAGCTTCGCCCTCAAGGATCATTGCTGTTAATGTAAAATTTACCGCTGAAGATTGTTGTTATTTGAATTGTAAAAGTCGTGTTTAGATTTTTTTCGTGTGTGTGTGTGTGTGTGTGTGTGTGTGTGTGTGTGTGTGTGTGTGTGTGTGTGTGTGTGTGTGTGTGTGTGTGTGTGTGTGTGTGTGTGTGTGTTTGTGTGTGTGTGTGTGTGATGAGAAGAAAATGGTACAGGAACATTTTTGTGTATGTTGGTCGCACGAGAGTCAAAATTTGGTACCGGTAGTTATATCGGAAATTAAGTTATGTCTTGATAAACAGCAACTAATACATGTTAACAACGGGTCATGCGATTTAAATGACATAAAACACACACACACACACACAGGATATTATTTGGTGGCAATTTCAGGAACATTAAAATAATTTCCGTATAGTCCCTTATCAGTCTCAGGCGATATATCTCGTGGTAGAGACTCAACTCACTCTTCACTTGACGTGTTGAGGTGAAGTGATTTTAGGTGACTTGAGATGACTGAGGTGAAGGTGATAGTATAATGGTTCATGTTCCTCCGGTGTTGTGAAGGTGACTCAGGTGACTCACAATATCCCAACTGAGGTCACAACAAGTCTTGGAAGAACAAGACAAATAAAATATTTGTTACACTCTGCTACTTAAACCTACACAGGATAAACCCAGAATATAATGTCAAAATTTGAATTGAATTATAGATATATCTCTGTGGGTTTTTTTTATACATTCAATTATAGATATATCGAAGTTTTTCTTATCTATTGAATTATTAAAATATTTCAATTATTTCCAATATATTAAAATACTTTCTATAGTTTGCATGATTTATGTTAATGTGTGTTAATGGTCCATGGTCGATTTTGGGACACAGGTGAGGTCAGGTAAGGGAGGGAGGCAGGGAGGGAGGGGAGGAATGAGGAAGTTAGGGATGGAGGGGGTGGCGAGGAAGTTTGGGAGGGAGGGAGGGAGGGGGTAGCGAGGAAGTTAGGGAGGGAGTGGGGGAGGGAGGGAAGTAGTGTCTCATTAGTGGACGAGACATAGACGCCCTGACGGTGAGAGACACTATCCAGGCATCAGGAAGTAAAGTAAATACGTCAATTTTTTATGTGGGTCATAATTCTCCAGGGGCTCTAATTTAGGTAATCTGTGGGTGTGGTGTGTGTGGTGTGGGTGTGTGGTGTGTGTGGTGATATGGTATAGAGTGTGATGGTGTGGGTGTTCACTTCCTGGTCCTTCATCATCCAACAGTCCCACCTCCTCTCAGCCTCACGTCCTTTACTCTGTGTTTGCATCTGTGATAATAATTTAACATTGCTGAGACTCTTAAGATCTGATGCTCATTTAAAAAGACACTTGATAGAAATGTACAAGTTTATATATTCTTGCAACATGGTAAATAATCTAGTGTATAAGAAATAAACGGTGTATAACAAGTATAAATATATAGTAGAGGGGCGAGATGCACTGTAGTTTGAGCTTTTCCCCATCTAGTTATTATATGTCTTATTTGTGTCACTTATGTTACTTGTATATTATTTGTAATTAGAAACCCATTCCCCAAATATGTAACTGTATATTTTCAGCCTTCTGGCTGCCAAGCTCTTTCAATAAACCGTTAATTATTATTATTATTATTATTATTATTATTATTATTATCATTATTATTATTATTATTATTATTATTATTATTATTATTATTATTATTATTATTATTATTATTATTATTATTATTATTATTATTATTATTATTATTATTATTATTATTATTATTATTATTGGCTGCCTGAGATGATTACTATCGCCATCTGTGTCTGTAAACGACTCTTTTGTTCTTGGCGGTGACTTGGGTAGTTTCTATACACCACTGAACACGAATTTCCATAAGGACCTTGGCCCCAGGGATAAAAAGCTTCATATTGATAGCGGAGATTACTGGGTCAGAGGTCAGGGTCACTGTTGTATAACCAGTTAAGGTGTCCCCCGGGAGTATGGCAACCAATGTGTTTTTTCTGACTTTTTTTTTTAGCTGTGGATGAAGAATTTACAGTATGGGGGAGTGTGTGAGTCATGAGACAGGATCAGGGGCTCTTATGGGCCGTGATATTAATATTGGGAGTCTTTAAGGTCATATTACAGGCCCAGGGCATCTTTAGGGCCTCCTCCAGCGGCCAGATAGCATTTAGGACCACGATAGTGTATATAGCTGTTAATGAATATGATGTATTTCTTTATGTATGAACGTCCGTCCTGCGTGGCAGTGAGATGTGATACCACCCTCAGTGTCAAGACCTGACTGAATTACTCATAATAGGCAAACTGTACTACAAGCTCTGCCAATAAATTTGTTAAACTAAAAAAAAACATCTTCACCCAGTCCTCACTTCGGCCACAAGATTACCTCCAGTTTTTTTTCAAGTTTAGAAGCTCCAAAAGTTTTGACCTCCAGTCGTCTGTCGGGAGATTTATAGTCAGAAAACAATCTCAGGGCAGTGTTACAGGTGCAGGGAGGAGGGTGTGACGGCCTGGCATCCAGGTTGCCCTGGGAGCCCGCCTCCACCCACAAAAGCGGTCCCACTCAGTGATGCCAACAGCAACACTGCGGGGTCGCCTCCAGCACCTGAAATCAACAGCGACACCTCCCCACCCAGGGGGCAGTGTCCCAGGTCCAGGGAGGAGGGTGTGACGGCCTTGCACCCCAGTTGTCCTGGGAGGTCGCCTCCATCCACAATAGCAGTACCACTCAATGATGCCAATGCGGCCGGATCGCCTCCACCACCTGAAGTCAACAGGCACAGTGACTCTCCTTCGTTAGCCAATGCAGGTCAGGTCAAAGCCTGCCAAGTAAGTGTACCAGTGTACAATGACAGTGATAGTGTTAGTGGTGCTTCTGAAGGAGCTCGTGCCTCCTCTCATAATGATGCCAACTTGAGGGTGAGTAGCCAGAGCGAGACCGATAGTGATGGTAGCATGGATGGGGAGAATGAGCCCCAGACTGCCAGCGTGGTCTCTTTAATAGTCCCAGGTCTGAAGACTGTTCATGACCCTGTAAGTTTTCCATTGTTTACGGAGGAGGAACTCGCGGGACTGATGAAGCAACCCGCGTATAAAAATCCTACTGGAATAAGGGCTGTGAAGAACATTCTCAGGAAATCCAGAGGTACAGAAATTGGAATGGTCAGCTTATTGGTCAGGCTGATCTATGAAGCCAGCGTGCGACTCTCTACGTTAAATTCAAGGTGGGAAAAGTAACACGAACGCTTAGGTTCATTTCATGGAACATCCGGAGTGTTAATCGCAGAATTAATGATCTACAATGGTTTGTTAAAGTTTTTGACATTGATGTAATTGGTTTACAAGAACCTTACACGTCCAGCACCCAGAAGAAAGTTGCACCCAGGATAGCTGGGTTTACAGCATATAATAGTGGAGCAGGAAGTGGCCTGCTCACATATGTAAAGAATGGTCTGGTCTGTAAATGGATTAAAACTCACAATGATGAAAGTATTCACTATCAACAATTTACAGTAAAGACAGCAAACAGTCAATTTTCGCTGTATAACATCTATGTTCGGTGTAATGAACTGCGAGCGGACGTGTTACCAAAGCCATCAGGTAACAATGCTATGCTGTGTATGGGTGACTTTAACTCTCGTCACACTGTCCTCGGTGATGTCCAGTGTAACTCTAATGGGAGGGTGTTCGTGAATTACATCAATAATCATAATATCACTGTATACGACACAGACAAAGTGACACATCTGATGGGGGGCAGACTTGATTATGTGATTGGGTATAACCTAGTAGACAGTAATGTCAAGGCTAAG